GGTGCATCGGGCTGAGGTTGGGCATGTGGTAACACATGTCTGGCCTTTGTGATCGGACCCATGTCACGCGCAGAAGTCGGAAATGGATGGATCAGTCGAACGCGTCCATGGAACTCTTCGGATGGATCCGAGCAGCCTACAGAACGACCACGCAGGAAGCATCGACGGGGCGTATCTTACCAACCTAGAGGCCGGTACGGGTGTTGTGGACACGGGAGTGGCACCTCGCAGCCACACGACGTATCGGTACTAACTCGCGCAGCTAGGGAGCGGGAGAATTACCCTTCTGTCTACAGGGAGCAAGCAATGCGTGTCGAGGCACCGGGGGGAGCACCAGGTCAAATTGCATGGAGGGAGACCCAAGGGAACGGGACAAGCCTGCCTCATGCAATCTGGTTGTCGGGCCCGTAGCAGCTGGAGGAAACGCTGCCCGGGATCGTCCGCACGGGATCTTCACTTGTATTCAGGCCGCATCTTCGGTCCGTAGGCGTCTGTAGGCACTCGATTAGAACTGTCCGCGCAGTTCCAGGTAACCGTCTTGGCTGACCATCCAGGAGTACGGCACTACCATCATTGTGTGGCATACTTGTTGCAAGTTGCGTCAACTGTTGTCCTTGTCTTACGCTAGCCTTCTTGTGATCGCAAATTACTGTCGTGAGGCCAACTTCGCTTATTCGCAAGATGACATTCGCCGCGAGAGGCTTGTGGCCAGGGCCTTCTCACGGCATTACACCTACTCACTTTCCCCATTTTAGATTTGGGTTAGGCAGTAACCACCTCCTGCCACAGCGATCAATCATGTCAACTATCAGCGCATGCAAAGCGAATCTAACGAAAGCGCTCACTGCACTCGAATTAACTAAAGGTAAGATACCGCAACATCTTATCAATGCATTCATAACAGAACTACCGCCATCTACCGACGAGCGTCAGCTTCTTGACAGCCGCCAAGAGGCCCTTCGGACGCATTTGTCGAATATGCGCGCAGCCGTTCGCATACTGCGAGAAAGACAACAAGCTTTTTTAGCTTACGTAAGCAGTTCAGCGGACCAGGAAGCAGACAACGAAGCATATCAGGCATACATGCAGGAGTCCCGGGTCGAAGACGTAGCAGTCGCAGCGGAGAACCTCATTCAGGTGCTCCATACGAACTTGGAAGAAGTTTGCGCACGTCTCGAAAACCTACGCACGAGAACGACAGTCAGTCAACCGCAGGAAAACATCCCGATCGAAGAAGACTCGACTACAGAGACGACTCCTCTTACCAATACTAACCAGCAAGCGCAGTTGTCAGTTCCTCAGCTTTCGCCGAGGGACACTCCACCTTACGGCACAGCAGATTCCCACTCCGCCACCATTGTTAACTCGCAGGTTCCGCATCAGTCGACGGTCCAGCTGGGGAAGCTCACTCTTGAGCCCTTCTCCGGAGACATCACGCAGTTCCAGAGATTCTGGCGTGCCTTCGAGGTAGCAATTCACGACGACGTTACCATAAGTACGACGTACAAGTTCCTCTACTTGCAAAGCCTCCTCAAAGGCGAAGCGCAGATTGTGTTGCAAGATCTGGACCCCGACGAGTGCAACTACTACGAGTTAGTACGCGCACTCAAGAAGAGATACGACAGGCCGCATAAGACCCGTGCAACATTGCACAGGCAACTTCAACAACTTCCTACGGCTAGTAGTTCAGGCTCAGACTTGCGCAACACATGGTTCCGCATCTCAGGCATCCTTAGAGGCCTTCGCAAGTTTGAAGATTTTCGCACTGTCTTGCCGATCCTCGACTTAGTCCGCAGCAAGTTCCCGTCGGATATCCAGCAGAAGCTCCACGATCTAGAGTTTCAATCAGGCGCAGATTTCGATCTACATCAAATCATGCACCACCTAGATCATATCATCGCTTCAAGGGAAAAGTACGAGGATACAACAACACTCCAAGACAGTTATTCCATCAATAATACTTATGGCAACAAACGCGCAAGGTCACGCTCTAATTCACCGCAAAGCGAAGTACTTACTTGTGCCTTCTGTGGGTCACCGTCGCATAAAACGCGCAATTGTTCGGTCAAAATTCCAAGCCCACGCACGCATCAATATCGCCAAGGTTCTTAACCTTTGTTGGAGATGTTTGAGCCAAGGACATTCACGTC